ATACTGCATACAGTAGTAGTGCCTTCAGTTAAAGTACCGCATACAGTACCTTTAGTGAAGGTACTGCAGTGACAGTGTCTGCAGTGAAAGTACTGTAGTGACAGTGTCTTCAGTGAAAGTACTGCGGACAGTACCTTGAGTGAAAGTACTGCTTTGGCAGTATATTCAGTGAAAGTACTGTATTGATAGTACCTTGAGTGAAAGTACTGCTTTGGCAGTATATTCAGTGAAAGTACTGTAGTAATAGTACAGTACCTTGAGTGAAAGTACTACAGACGGTACTTTCAGTGAAAGTAGTGAAGCTACAGTATCTTCAGTGAAAGTACTGCAGTGACAGTGTCTTCATTGAAAGTACTGTAATAATAGTACCTTCAGTGAAAGTATTGTGGACAGTAGCTTGAGTGAAAGCTCGGCAGTGACATTATCTTCAGTGAAAGTACTGCAGCAATAGTACCTTGAGTGAAAGTACTGCAGACGGTATTTTGAGTGAAAGTAGTTAAGCTACAGTATCTTCAGTGAAAGTACTGTAATAGTAGTACCTTCAGTGAAAGTACTGCAGAGAGTACCTTGAGTGAAAGTACTGCACTGACATTGTCTTCAGTGAAAGTACTGTAGTAGTAGTAGTACCTTCAGTGAAAGTACTGCAGAGAGTACCTTGAGTGAAAGTACTGCACTGACATTAGCTTCAGTGAAAGTACTGCAGTGTCAGTGTCTTCAGTGAAAGTACTGTAGTAGTAGTAGTACCTTCAGTGAAAGTACTGCAGATGGTACTTTGAGTGAAAATACTGTAGTGACATTGTCTTCAGTGAAAGTACTGTAGTAATAGTACCTTGAGTGAAAGTACTGTAGTAATAGTACCTTGAGTGAAAGTACTGCAGTATCTTCAGTGAAAGTACTGCAGATGGTACCTTGAATGAAAGTTCTGCAGTGACAGTGTCTTCATTCAAGTGTTCTTTACCTAGAGGAAAGAGGAAGTACTGCGGACAGTACCTTGAGTGAAAGCTCGGCAGTGACATTATCTTCAGTGAAAGTATTGCAGTAGTAGTAGTACCTTCACTGAAAGTACTGCAGACAGTACCTTGAGTAAAAGTACTGCAGTGGCAGTATCTTCAGTGAAAGTACTGCAGTGACATTATCTTCAGTGAAAGTACTGCAGTGACATTGTCTTCAGTGAAAGTACTGCAGACAGTATCTTTAGTAAAAGTACTGCATTGGCAGTGTCTTCAGTGAAAGTACTGTAGTAATATTACCTTGAGTGAAAGTACTGCAGACGTTACTTTGAGTGAAAGTAGTGAAGCTACAGTATCTTCAATGAAAGCACTGTAATAGTAGTACCTTCAGTGAAAATACTGCAGACAGTACCTTGAGTGAAAGTACTGCATTGGCAGTACCTTGAGTGAAAGCACTGCAGTGACAGTGTCTTCAGTGAAAGTACTGTAGTAATAGTACCTTCAGTGAAAGTACTGCGGACAGTACCTTGAGTGAAGGCTCGGCAGTGATATTATCTTCAGTGAAAATACTGTAGTAATAGTACCTTGAGTGAAAGTATTGCAGACGTTACTTTGAGTGAAAGTAGTGAAGCTATTGTATCTTCATTGAAAGTACTGTAATAGTAGTACCTTGAGTGAAAGTACTGCAGTGGCAGTATCTTCAGTGAAAGTACTGCAGTGATAGTGTCGTCAGTGAAAGTACTGTAGCAATAGCACCTTCAGTGAAATTACTGCAGACAGTACCTTGAGTGAAAGTACTGCAGACAGTACCTTGAGTGAAAGTACTGCATTGGCAGTATCTTCAGTGCAAGTACTGTAGTAATAGTACCTTCAGTGAAAGTATTGCAGATGGTACTTTGAATAAAAGTAGTGAAGTGACAGTATCTTCAGTGAAAGTACTGTAGTAGTAGTACCTTCAGTGAAAGTATTGCAGACAGTACCTTCAGTGAAAGTACTGCAGTGGCAGTATCTTCAGTGAAAGTACTGCAGTGATAGTGTCGTCAGTGAAAGTACTGTAGCAATAGCACCTTCAGTGAAATTACTGCAGACAGTACCTTGAGTGAAAGTAGTGCAATGACATTATCTTCAGTGAAAGTACTGCAGTGGCAGTACCTTCAGTGAAAGTACTGCAGTGACAGTGTTTTCAGTGAAAGTACTGTAGTAATAGTACCTTCAGTGAATGTATTGCAGACAGTACCTTGAGTGAAAGTACTGCTTTGGCAGTATCTTCAGTGAAAGTACTGTATTAATAGTACCTCCAGTGAAAGTACTGCAGATGGTACTTTGAGTGAAAGTAGTGAAGTGAAGTAGCAGATAAGTTTAATAGGTTTTTTGTGAATGTGGGTCCTGGTTTAGCAAGTAGCATTTGTACAGACGTCAATATAAATAACAATACAATTGAAAGGAATATGTGTTCTATGTTTCTGAAGCCCATAGTTGAAAAGGAAATTATAGAGATAGTGAACAAATGTGGTAGTAAAACATCTAGTGATAGTGATGGTATCACTATGACAACTGTTAAATGGGTAATTGAGGGGATATGTAAACCATTAACCCATATTTTTAACATGTCATTTCGACTTGGGCAGTTCCCCAATAATATGAAAATAGCAAAGGTTATTCCACTGTATAAATCTGGTGATAA